CACTCAATGTATTAAATCTACGGAGAAGTACAAGCCTGTATGATAAGAATATTAGCAGACATAATTAGTACACGTTCAATGTATTACGTATGAGAAAAAGCACAAACCTGTTCATCTCAACTTATTTTAACATTGTACAAAAATGATAAAACGTACAATCAGTTTAACATAAAATAAGTGAACATGAGTACGTAAAGACTTGAAAGTAGCTTTTATCAAAATTCATTTTAACCTCAAGTTATATGTTTGAACAAATTCAAGATTACTTAAAAGACATTCAAAAAGTAATGTCATTTTATTCTTAACACGTTTATTTTGATAAAAGTTAACATATCTGATACTACAGGATATGTTCAGTGTCACACCAGCATAATTACATGCAACAATACATTACAAAAGGCTGAAAGGAGTAAACACCGAACTGGTTCAGTAGAAAACCATTCACACAAAATAGAAAAATGAAATGATGTATCCATTATTCATATAACATACAGTTGAATTATAGTTTCTATAATGTTTTAAAGAAATATCGCAATATTTTGAAACTTTGTTGTTTGAAGTTGCCAGCATAAAGACGACATTGTAAGTTTGAATTTCAGCATGAACAAAAGCAACGAATGTCGTAACAGTACAATAAGCGTATGAGGCAGGATTATTTTGTCATGTATAGCACTTTTATCTGGAGGTCTGATACATATGTATTTAAACAGATATGTTCACCATTTTCGATTTCTATACATAACCATAGAGAAGTCTCAACGAAGTGTTCTTGAAGAAAGGCTATTTTGAGGATCTTCCTAAATTAAAATTTAATTTTTAAAATTGCAGTAGTGTACTGGCACACAGTGGAATACTAAGAGACCGCATATAACCCTTGTTCAATTACTTCGAACGGACATAAGCCGATCTTATTGACTCTTGTCCGTGACATTTTGTTAAGCGAGTATTGAGAAGACATTAACTATACGTGTATTTTAAATCAAAAGGATAAGCTGAAAGGTCGAAATTGCATATAGACATGCAACTAGATTGGAAAAAAATATTCGGAAGTGGCATGCAGAAATACAATTAGATTTAAGAAATGTTGGAAAGCGACATGCAGACCTACAAGAATGAATAAATAGATACTTACCACAATCAGGAATATAAGACTTCTCGGAATAAAAGGAACTGGATCTCCCTTCTCTGACTAATACTGTGTGCTCATTGGCTCTAAAAAAGTTTATCTCAGCTGTTAATAAACATTACGTGAACTTTGTGTTCTACATTAGATATGAGTAACGATGCAAGTTATACAATTACAAGTGTATTAAAACTATTTTAAAATAGACACAAACCAAACTATACTGTATCACATTAGACTCTCTGTTCAAGATTTATCTACATTTTAAATACGAGTTGTCTTAGTAATTTACGTATTCTGCTTGAAAAGTACAGATGCTTAGATTATAAAACAACACCTGTGTTTTCTTTCCATAATACCAACAGTATAGCATAACATACAAGATAATATTTAAAGACAAAAAAGGACCTGTCCCACCTTCTAAACTAAACTAAAGAATTAAATAAATAAATTAATTAAATAAAGCCAGTCCTTATCATTCATATAGTTATGCTACTCTAAAATAATATAAAATATTCAAAACCATCTCTTATCATTGAAATATCTACCAAGCTTTCTCTTAAACTCACTTAAATTTATTGCTTCCACAACATCCGAAGGCAACCCACTCCAGAGGCTAACCACCCTGTTAGAAAGATCTTAGCTGAAGATGACTCCTACCTTGCCAAAATTTATATTTTTGTCCCCTAGTCCTTCTACTCTCATTATTAAGTACGAAAAAAGATGATGCATCAACACTATCAATTCCTTTTGCAATTTTAAACACCTCAATAAGATCCCCTCTAACTCTTCTTTCTTCCAGAGAAAACAATTTCGAAGATCTTAATCCCTCCTCATATGACAACCCCTCCATCCCAGGCACAATTTTAGTATCCCTCCTCTGAACCATTTTAAATAATTCAATGTCTTTCCTAAGGTAACGAGCCCCAGACTGAATACAATACTCCAAATGTGGCCTAACCAGTAACCTATATAATGAAATTATAACTTTTTTAGACTTGTATTCAATATTTATGTAGATACAACCTGAAATCCTATTTGCCCTACCACTGGCAACAGCACATTGCTTCGATAACTTAAGAGACTGATCAAGAATTACACCAAGATCCCTTTCTTTCATGACACTGTTAAGGTTATTCCCATTCAAATTATACTTATAATTCAAATCATGATAACCCACATATATTACCTTGCATTTATTATAATTAAAACTCATCAGCCATTTATTTGTCCAACTCACTAAGTGATCTAAATACTTTTGTAAAGTAGCAGCATCCTCTTCCCGGCTAGTAACACTTAAAACCTTAATATCATCTGCATATTTAAGTAATTTATTGACAATTCCTTGATCTATGTCAATGACATAAATCAAAAAGAGCAAAGGTCCTAAGACTGAGCCCTGAGGTATCCCACTTCTGACATTAATCCAGTTTGACTGAACTCCATTTGTAACAACCTTCTGCTTTCTTCCAGCCACTCTTCTATCCAATTTGCTAACTCATCTCCCACACCTATAGAGATAAATTTTGTACAAGCCTTTTATGTTGCACCTTGTCAAATACTTTCTGAAAATACAGATACACCAAATCTACTCCATTACCCTCATCTACATAAGCAGTAAGCTTTTCAAAGAATATCAAAAGATTTGTAAGGCAAAATTTTCCCTTAGTGAAACCATGTTGAATATCCAATAAAATTCTAAATTTAGTTAAGTAACCTTGCAAAGCATCTTTTATCAGACTTTCCAAAACTTATCCCACAACTGATGTAAGACTAATAGGCCTATAATTACTAGGACAAATTTTATTACCCCCCCTTGAAAAGAGGAGTGACATTAGCTAACGTCCAATCATCATAATCAGATACAAACCTTCCTTTATCACCATTCAATGGTTCTACCCCCCATCCTGACATTTTGTTTACCGTTAAGGTATTTAAAGAAATCCTTTCTGTAAGTTTTACATTTTCAGCCAGCAATTTTTCATACATCCTTTTTGATGTTCTAACTTCCTGATGAACCAACTTTCTTGATCTTCTATAATCTCGATTGAAGGTTATGGAATTTTCCACAAGAACGATTGTCAATTTATTAAATACCATAACTTGCTTGACCTATGAAACTTTTCAAGGCATAAAATATATTAAATATATTATAATATACTAAATATTGTAGTCACCCATTATGAACGTCCACTGGTGTCACCTTGTTCCACATTGGCGTATGCTGGGCAGTCTTTCTTTTGCGAAATCCTGAACCTTCCCAATCCTACCAAATTAAGAGTTGTTATGGAATCTATCACGTATCAATGAGTGAATTTTAACATACGTTTTGTGATAAAAGAGGGTAGATTACTCCTATGTTCAAAGGAGCCATATAATTACATGTTTGCAAAGTAATTCCTCAATCAATAATAGTTATTTCTAAACAGGCGAAAGTAAAACATTACAGATCAAATGACATTATTATAATATCATAATAGAACAGGTGCCTGATTATAAGAAAATAACCAACATTATAAGGTTGAAAAAACGCAGTGTTTTCTACAAAAGTATAATATATTCCTAAAAAGGTGAAAATCACGAATAATCTGAATATTAGAAAATAAAGTGATTTTAAAAGAAAAAAATTCAGAACAGTATATAACTTTAAAACATCATTTTGATACCATACATCCATTATAAATGCTGAAGTTTAAAACTAAGACTGAAAGGAATAAACTTGCAGCAACTAAATGTAAGATTTCATTTGATTGAAACATTACCGTACTCACAAAAGTTCGTAAACTTAATTATAGAGTTTGTGTTCGTATTTGTAAAGCTTCTTGAAATGTTCATAAAATATTTCATTTTTAAACTAAATAGCAAAGATTTGATGAATGTTACATTTCTAATTTAAACTTTTTCGACTTCGTTCTTTTCAATTTCGAAGCAATCATATAAGCATTTTTCCAAATGGGACTTAATTATTATATTATTCAAGATAGATTTACTTTCAGGAATATAAAAAAGCTACACATTATTTTAGCATTTTGTGGGAGGCGTGAAAATATTATATCACTTTTCAAAACTCGAAAATCTTAAGAGATTCTCCCAGTTTTAGATAACCACTATATTATGCTCTTCTATTCGTTGGTGTTGTTAATGAGAGTGACATTTACATAATCCCACTGGTGAAATTTACTTAAATAATTTATAGGCATACAGAGTATTCTCAGGCCACTGACGCTTTTGTAATAGCTTATTATAATTCTGTAACGCAACAAATACCAGTGCGTTACTAAACAACAAATACCAATACGTCACTATGTAACAAATACCAGTGCGTTACTAAACAACAAATACCAATACGTCACTGTATAACAAATACCAGTGCGTTACTAAACAACAAATACCAATACGTCACTGTATAACAAATACCAGTGCGTTACTAAACAACAAATACGAGTACGTTACTACATAACAAATAACAGTACATTACTAAACAACAAATACGAGTACGTTACTACATAACAAATAACAGTACATTACTAAACAACAAATACGAGTACATTACTACATAACAAATAACAGTACATTACTAAACAACAAATACGAGTACGTTACTACATAACAAATAACAGTACATTAATGAACAATCAATGCAATGTTGTAAATAATTTTCACAACATTACACTTAGTTCATACTAGACTGTAAGACAAACATATCATATTTACCATATATGTGAATATCTTGTTTGTGAGGATCAGAACGAACATTACAGCTAGATCATACTAGAGTATAAGACGAACACATCACATACGTGTATAGCCTGTTTGTAGGGGTCAAAATGAACATTAAAGCAAGATCACAAACACATTGTTAACCACACATATGTATAACATGTTTATAGGAAACATGACGAATTTTACAGCTAGATCACACTAGATAACATAACCAACACATAATATAACCACGCATACGTATAACCTGTTTGTAGGAATCAGGACGAATTTTATAGCTAGATCACACTATATAATTCAGTAGATGTGCAATTTGATTAATTTTTTGAGCGACAAACTGTATACCCAGCCCGACAGATTCGGTGAAAGTTCAAAATTTTTGCAGGTTATTTAAAGGAGACTGCATTTCTCCGTCTTTTTTTCTCTTGAAAACACAGAATACACGAACAAATTTGTTAAAAATGAGTAAGATCTCTGCGAGAATTTTCAGTAGCGTGTATTCTTGTTTGTTTGTTTGTTATGAATTTCGCGCAAAGCTACACGAGGGCTATCTCCGCTTGTCGGCCCTAATTTAGCAGGGTAAGACAAGAGGGAAGGCAGCTAGTTATCACCACCAACCGCCAACTCTTGGGCTACACTTTTACCAACGAATAGTGAGATTGACCGTCACATTATAACGTCCCCACGGCTGAAAGTGCGATCATGTTTGGTGTGATATGGGTTCGAACCCGCGACCCGCGATTGCAAGTCGAGCGCCCTAACCACCTGGCCATGCCGTGCCCGCATTCATTCTCTAAGAAAACTTGTATAACAGGGGAAATGGATCGGAAGTGAGGAGGTGTAGCAGTCGATTCGAGAAATTTTGCAGAAATGACTAATAAGTTGCCTCACTTCTTGTTCAAAGCAGCCAATTTTACAGTAGAGATGTGGTCAAGATTTCTACTGTCTGAATTTGGTACATTTAATACATTAAATTTAATAATACTTTTGAATTTTGCTTCTACGGAAAACTATATACTACATCAAGAAGTAAAAAATATCCTCAAAAATATTTCAGTTATGTTGTTGTTGTTTTTGTTTGTAATTGAGCACAAAGCTACAGAATGGGCTATCTGTTCAAACTCAACTATTTACAGTAGCTACTGCAGTAACGATAAAGGGTTTATTGTATAAAATATTTTTATTTTTCAATATATGTGAACGTTTATTATGAATTTGGTTTGCTTTTGGGATATTAAGTTAGCATGCAAATTTGGTCTGGATCGGTCAACTCAATTAGGAGGAGATGCGTTCACAGACAGACAGAAAGGTTTCCTTCATATTTGATAGTTACCACACCGGTATAGCTTAATATGTATAGCGCATATGTGAAGAATGGCTGTACCCCAATTTCTATAGTCAGCTTTGGACAAATGAAGCACATCATATAAACCACACGTGTATAACACTGAAGCTAGATCATACTAGCGAACATAACAATCACATCATATAACCACACATATGTATATCCTGTTTGTAGGAATAAGAACGCACATTGCAGTTAGCCTAAAATATGCTATATTGTAAGTTGTAAACATCACTTGTGTTTGAGAACATGTTCAGCACCTAATGTAAACTTTTCAAAAGGACCAGGAAAATACGATTCAAGAATATAACGCAACAAATTTAAAATGTTTGCTAGTAGTAACACTGTATTATTTAGGAAATTCACCGAAGTACGACAACGTCTTCGTACAAAGCATTGTTATAAAGTAAGAACTTGAACCTACTTGTTTAGTGTGTGGTTAAAACAAACTTCAAAACCTAATGTTCGTGTTTAACAATATTTGTTTCTATACTTGGTTTACTTGCTCGGTAATATAAAATTATGCAAATAATTTATATATATATCATACGATACTGTCTAAAGTTTTATATATAATCTAATTATTACATTTTTATCATTAAGAACTTTCAAACATTTTTTACAAAAATTAATTATAACTTAACTTCCGCATATGAATGAAATGATTTAAGGACTAATAAAACGAGCATCTGGATTATTGTAAGAAACTCCTAACGTTGTTGGTGTCAACAGTTCAGGTGATATTTAGTAATGTTTATTACAAAATGAAAACATAGAAGTTCACATTAGCTAGCAAAATCCCTTGACACCATGAGCTGCGACCTACAGTTTAGTGTCACCTCTCATCAGCCCAGTAAAGTCAATTACACAGATTGTCACACAATAACTTTTATATGATTTTGATGTGGAGAAAGGCTTTGTGTAGATTTTAGACACAAATACCTTTATATTCTTTCAATCGGAAAAAAAGTTTCATCTTAACTGTATATTCTCATAGATTAACAGAAGGTAATTTAATATTAACTGTCTTCACAAATTTGGTGCTTCAAATAGCACTCAAACATTATTCTGTACTATAATGGAAAAATCTCTACTGTTATCACTTACATTTCCTTTCTTAATATTAACGTTCTCTACTATTTCTGTTCTAGTAGAGTCGGATCTGTGAAGCTGGGAAGCATTTTTCCCCATCATCTCCTCTGCGCTACAACCCATCAACTTTTCAGACGCTTGGTTCATGTACTGTCATAAGAGAAGTTCTAAAACTCATTTAAGAAGGTAACCGTTTTCTTACTTGTACAAACCGACACATTTATTCAATCAATTTCTCTTAGTTTGACTTCACTTATCTATTAATTCTAAGCCTTATTTAATAAACTCTAGCTTTACAAGTACTCCAACTAGTTTAAAGTTGTAATCTAGTATAGACTCTATAGAGATTCATCGTTATATCAAAATTAACCCTACGAAATAAATGATAATTTACTTTTACCCGTCTTCCACCTGCCAAAGAAGTAGAGGTAAAGTATACATAATATTACAGAATATACAAACGATTTCTTGTGGCTGTACGAATAAAGGATAACTTTAGTTTATTACTCTGAAAACTTGTTTTACTGTTTTCTTCTTTTAGGAATTAATGACTTTCTACCGTTCTTTTTGTTTGTAGTTTTATTTTTGCCTTAAATACTTGTTATTTGTAGGTGGGTTGGAAGTTTACAAACGGTGGCATTTTCGTATCAAAATGTATACGTTCAGTTTGATCTTGATTTTCACTTTTTTCAGATGATATAAAATACAATGAGCAGTTCTAGTTTGATTAAACAACAATAATTCTTGAGAAAATATGCAAACAGAAGCATGTTATACGTAACAATATGTATATTTTTTCATCGATAACAAACCATTTTGGTAGTGTTTCAAACATTTGTGAAGCGCGAATAATTGATTAAGACAGCGTTACAGTTCGTTTCAACTTTTGAAAAAAACAAAAAGAGGTTATAAAGTTTTTTAACATTTCAACGCCTGATATCATTTACTAGACAGTTTGGATTACCTGTATTTCCTGGTTCTTTCCGGTTACAAGAACAGCGTCACAAGAGTTTTCCAGGGCAGTGAAGAGCGCCTGCGTTGCATGAAGTTTCAGACGGGTCATGATTTCGTTGCCCTCAATAAGGATTAGCTCACTCAAACACAAAGTCAGGCTACAGCTTTCTAGAAACCACTTAAACAATCGAAACAATAATCAGGATATCTTTGTATTATTGTTTTTTTTGGGGGGGGGGGATGGGGAGGTGGTACTTTAACTAATATGATATAATTGTTTCTTGATTATTTCGTCATAAATTAATGCCCTTACCAAAATATGATTGTATGGTAACTCCAGTACCAAAACAGAGTTACACAATTATGTTACTACCAAGGTAGAGCATTCTAATGGCACTAACAATACACTTATTATAGGATTCTAACGTTAAATACACTTATAACTGTACAGTGATGCAACTACCAAAGAAGATTTTTATGATATATTATGATATAGTTGTATCATACTATTGCTATCCTGATCAAGTGCAATTAAAAAAATAAAAAATGCTTAGCTTATATATATATAAATTATGGGAATAAGCACCTGCAACATTCCAGCCATGTTCGCCTAACGTTGGAGTCTCGCAAGGTTGGGTCTTAAGTTCTATACTTAATATTTTATACGTTAATGACATGTCACAGCCTCTCCAGTCACTAATTAATTCACGTATAGCAATACGCCGACTTTATAGCGGTTTTGACCACATCGCCAGACCTTCCACCCCACTCGCTACTCAAGAATCACTCAGTCAGATCACATTTTGGTGGATCATCCTTAATCCGTCTAAGACTCAAGCAATTATATTTCACAAAAGCCTAAATAAGAAGTTCTTGAGACTCAAAACAGCCCGTTTAAAACTATATGACGCACCTATCATGATCATAGACAAAATACAATTTCTTCGTGTTACTCTCAACAACAAGTTTACATGGAAAATGCTCTTCAACGTAATTATGAGTAAAATGCAAATCAAGATAAAACTGTCTGGATAGGTATTTGGTTGTTATGCGCAGCCTGCGAGGGTCAGGATCTATTCAGACTTCTTCCTCCCTCCTTCACTATTGTACATTAAACTGTCAAATGTTATAAAATATTCACGAAGTCAGTACTTGAACACTATGTAAAACACTGAGTGTAAAACGCTTTTTATTAGGTAGTTTGCACTCTCAAAGAGATCCGTAGTAAAATGGCAGTTTTTTCACTTGAAGTAATTGCCAGATGCACATTTCACACATATAACACCCCTTTTAAATATACGTGTGATACCTAATTCTATTATGATATAATATGATACATTTTGATCTAGGGCAGGTGGACTTTTTCTTATAGTAAAATTGAGTGGAGAGAGAGATACTTAGGACTGTCGTCATCATGTATGATATAATGATCTATTAAGGTTAGTGAGTTGTTTTTATATACATTTTTATCAAATATATTAACCAACAATCTATGAGTCTGTCGTGGATTGGTCATATATTTGCGTATTTATGCACGAATTTTAGGTTTGTTGTTATGGGTACTCTGAAAACTGTGTTGATTATTGCATTTAATAAAATGCAAGTAAGATTGGGCTATCTGCATTAGCCGTTCCTAATTTAACAGTGATAGATTAGAGGGAAGGCAGTTAGTCAACACCATTCATCGCCATCTCTAGGGCTACTCTTTTACCAATGAACAGTGGGATTGACTGTCACATTATAATTCCCCACAGCTGAAAGGCGAGCATGTTGGGTGAAGAGGATTCGAACCCCCAGCTTGTGAGTCGAGCACACTCACCACCAGGCCATGCCAAACCTTGCACAGATAATAGGACACCACGTTAGTGGGCGTAAAATGTCCCCCTCCTCTCTCTCTCTCACCCATTTACAAAGTTTTCATCAGGCAACTGATGGAATAGGGCTCCATAATAACTTGTAACATGTCGGAAAACACCTTCACGAGACTACAAATATTTGAAAATCGAGTTCTACGCTGATCCTTCGACCTCTCGCACTACAATCTGTCATCCTACATAAACAAATCCTCACTTATTCCTTCAATCAAAGTTAGATTCATAAAATTAGCATTCAAATTCTATATAAAAGCACAAACAAGAAACTCAATCTCAGCCACTTTTTTCTTTGCAAAAATACACGTCCCAAGTTAATCTGATAAACAACAATTAGCACCTGATAACCTGGAGAATCAATGTGTAAAACAGTATAACTGATTTTATTATTCCAGTTTACCCTTTTGCTTACTCTCTTTTCATCTTTATTTTTTCAGGATATATATCTTGGGCATTGGGTGGACAGATCTTTCAGCAACCGTCCAGTGAAAGTGATTTTTTTCTCGGGGTTGTCCCGTTTCCCCTACGTCATATTTTGAGGCGTAGGATTTATTGATCCGTGCCGCCCTGCCTTATTGGCCGTTTATGAACTTTAGTTATCGTTGTTGGCGGCTTGTTTCCTTCAACCTAACCCTTGGATTTGTCTCTCTCGCACGGTCAGACATAGTTTAAAGAGTGGTCTTTCCGTTCTTGATGATCCTAAACATCCCACATAAGTCTTTTTTTCCACTATGCACACTAATACCGCAAGCGGGGTGAAAGGGAATTGCCTAATTTCCGAACGCCCCAGGTATCCAACTCCCAAATATCTGCCATAGTTTATTGTATCGTAATGTAATTGACCAAAAAGTGACTATAATGTTTTGTTCTTGAACAACTTAAAGAGTGGTCTTTCTGTTCTTGATGATCCTAAACATCCCACATACGTTTTTTTCCCACTATGCACACTTATACCGCAAGCGGGGTGCAACGGAAGTGCCAAATTTCCGAACGCCCCAGGTATCCAACTCCCAAATATCTGACACAGTTTATTTTATCGTAATGTAACTGACCAAAGAGTAACTTTTATTTTTTTGTTCTTGAACAACTTTGATTTTAAGTAAACACTTTACATTTTTTTTATGATTATAGGGTAGGTATTCCAGGAAATTTCACTTTGTAGGTTTCAAACAGTGAGGAATTATCGACGGTTGAATACACCGTAACAGTTCAAGTTCACACACACACACACACTAACACCAATGATAATTTTTGTTCATTTTAATATTCATGTTTTTTTGTGTCAATGTCCTAGATAATGTGCATGGAGCACAACCTTCTCGATACCTGCTGAAATAATGATTTTAGTTATTTAAATGCAGCTGATGCTAAATGCATCACTTATTTTAAATTACATATTATTAGATAAATAGTTGACATTTTTACTTCATTTTGAAGGTCCGTTTTATCCAACCTTTAGGGTTAATCACAGCTGAGATTGTTACTAATACTAGCCATGTGAACTACCAATCCTCTTGACGAATACTACAAATATAATGAAAATTCCGGGTCTATCTTTCAAATGGATTTTCAAAACGTTCCAGAGCAGTTCACTTCATTTGGGTTTGGGGGGAGGGGGTTCTAGGCTGTGAATGGCGGATTCTGGTATTACAAGCCTCAAACTCTTGTTGAACATGCCCTCTCCCTCCCCGTTGTATGCTAAACAATAGAACAGATCTTTTCTCACAAAAGTTTATCAATTCAGGCAGCATAGCATTGTGAAGAATGTTATATGTAACAAGACATTCACGAATGCTTTAAGGTCATGTCCAAATCAGCTAAAACAGATCTACGTCATATTTCTAAGTTGGAGTAACACAACCATATTCAAAGCATTTGTCAACCAACAACGAGTAGCAGTATTCATCACTAAACGTTATGACTATGATTGTTCAATCCTAAAGGTATAATGAGTAACCATCACCTTACATTGTGTTGAATGGCCATGGCCCACAGCGTGTCTGTATTATCCAGCATTATAGAGGTCCCCGTCTAATGTGGATGATCTGGACTGTAGTCCTGAAGTTGCTTTAAAGCTCCAGATGCTGAATTTAATTTTACATGTATGGCTTTACTTCATAATTGTTTCAAAATGTGTACAAACGAAGAAATGTTTCATTTTAGGTTTCTCAGTAAATGCTTCATATTTGCACATCCCAACATCTTCAATTTCATCAACACATTACCTACAGTGGATCTGAGTATTAGCAGGCAGACTGTAATATCTCAGACTCTCATGCCATCAAAGTTACATTCAATAAAAATTCCTCTCTGAACATCTGGGAGTTCCTTTCCTTTGGCATCTTGACTCTAACTGGCTATCAAATAGAGAGAAGAATAGTACAGTAATTTAGGCATAGAGCCAAGGGCCTTCAGTAGGCTATTACTCATTCTTCAACTCTTCCATGATGGTGACAAACTTTAGGGGAATTTAAATATAAAAAAGAACTTGGGGTGATTTAAAGAATATCAGGAACACAATACAGAGCACATCCAACTAACAGAGGCTACTTTCAACAAGAGCACCCAGAATGTTGAAAGACATGCATGCATAGATAAGTATTGTTTCGCACCATTAAAAGAGGAGTGTATGAGCTAGCAGGCCATGCCAAAGCTCATAAGTGATAGAGTAACATAAAGGAGAAAAAAAAACTATGAAACAAACTATTATGTACTTTGTGATAAGGAGTGTTGTAGTTGCCAAAAGCCAGGAACAAAGCTTAAGTCATGAAAATTACGTTAAAAGAGTTTATGTCGCCTACTTTGTTAAAGTAACGTTTGCCAAGTGATAGAAGTCGACATTTTACTGCTTATAGCTTGGTGTAAGAGCGTTTATAGATAATGGGTATGTAACGTGGAATGCAATAATGTACATTTTGTACGGTTTGATACCGTAAACTGATCATTAGGCATTGAAAGTGTTTCCATACAATCATACCCCATTAAAGTTCGAAATAAAGACTTGATAACGTAAAAACGACTTTGGCTATTTTCTTGACTTGAAGGGGACATAAATAACGTTTAAAATACAAAACGTGTCTTTTAAAGGGATTCATTATTAGCCTTTATGATGAGCATTAACTAATGAACCGGTTAAGCCACTTCTGGATCTGCCAAACACTGGAATTTTACGTACAAACCACAATACAATATCATATGCAAGCTTAAATGTGAACAGATTTTTAGTAATTGAGAAAATAATATTTTTAAAGGGATAATGTAAACAACGGATCCTCGGTTCACACGTGCGTCGAAAGAGATTTTCACTGGAGCAGCACTATTGTATAGGAAATTTGATAACGAGCGGATAATAGAAGGAAATATTATACTGTGTCATCTGCTGGCCGTCATAAATCCCATAGAGAAGTAAGCCATGGAATTAATATAAAAAACCACCGAATATGGGTTAATTAAAAGCTGGGGGTGTATCGTCCCAAAATTTTGCTTACACAAAGAATGTATTTAGCATAAAAAATAGAATAAATAGAATTATGTGTTAGTTATGATGAGATAAAATTACTGTATAATGTCAATAACCTCACACCTCGGTTTAATTGGTTTTATGCAATTTAGGCATCTGATGAGCAGTCATGTGATCTGAATGAATAGTCCCAAGATCATAATTAAAAATTAGGTAGAGGCGGCTTTACAGTTTTTACACTTTATGACATTTCATCTCAATAGGGAGTAATAGCTATTACGAACAGTAAACAAAACCTGGAATCGTGAGTGTTGGCGATATCCTTAGTTATGTCCGACAACTAAACTTAAATAGCAGTTTCTAGGGCATTTTTAGTGTCGCATTTTGCAAGAGTTCCCTACATGCTCAATGGGATTAAAACTCAGTGACTTTAGAGGTTACTCCATTCGGTCAATTTCCCTCTTCATCAACGAAGCTGATCACCACTTTAGTACAACTGGGAGAGGATACTAGCATTCATTATGCTGAAGTAATGTCCAATTGTAGGACATGTTCTTTTTAATGTGTGGCATTAAATTGCAAGATGTAAAGGTCGGTACTCTGTCGAATCTATCTCTTTATAAAAGCTTTATATACCTTGTCAAATCTACCATTTTAAACGAGGCATTATGTATTTTGCCGAATCTACCTCTTCAAATGAAGTGTTTTGTACTTTGTTGAATCTACGGTTTAAAATAAAGTATTATGCTCCTAGACAAATCCACCAACTCAAATGTAGCACTAGTGTTCCATGGAACCCACCTTTTGTGAATGGAGAATTATGTACCTTGTCGAATCCATCACTTCAAATGAAGTATTATGTACCTCATAGAGTCTACCAATTCAGATGAATCGTTCTGTCAAATATTCCACTTCAAAATAAAGCATTATGTACCCAATCAAAGCCACCACTTCAGTACGTAGCTTTATGTACCCTATCAAATCCATCACTTTAGAATGAAGCATTATGCATCCCATTGAATCCACCACTCCAAAACGGAGCTATGTACAAATAGAGTCCACCCCTTCAAAATGTAACAGCACGTATCCTGTCGAATCTATACCTCAAAATGTATTATTGCTCATCCAGTAGGATCTAGTACTTAACATTAAGCATTTTTTATTATTTCGAATTCAGCATCTAAAATATAGCAGTTTACCTATTAAATCCACAATATAAAATAAAGCATTACTTCTCCTATTGAATCCAAAATTCAAACTTATTCATTACTTATCATGTGAAATGTGGAATTCGGATTATTGGATAAATTACATTGTCAAATCCAAACCCTTTAAGCCAAACATGACACTATAAATGTAGCATTACTTATACTGTCCAATTTTACTTTGAATTACTACATTATTATCCTGACTAATTCATCATTTAAAATCTAACTCTACTTATTCTGCTGAGTTCAACACTCAAAATTTGCATTACTTATCATGTCGTTTCTGATACTCAAAATACTGCATTACTTACCATGTCATTTCCAACACTTAAAATACAATACTACCTTCCCTGTCATTTCTACACTCAAAATGCTAAATTATTTAATCTGTAGTTCCTAACATTTAAAATGTTGCACTACTTACTGTGTCGTATCTAGCACTCAAAATCAAGCATTACTTACCATGTCGTTTCTAACACCCAAAAGAATTATTTAACAGGTCATATCTAGCGCTTAAAATATTGCATTATGTACCGTATAGTTTCTAGCACTCGAAATGCTGAGTTAATAACCGTGTCATTTCTATCACTCAAATTGCTGCATTACTATATCGTTTCTAGCACTCAAATTGTTGCATTACTGACTGTGTCGTTTCTAGCACTCAAAATATAGAATTACTCATTATTTTGTAAATATCAATAAAAGTAAAGCAATGAGGCTGAAGTGGTATTACCCACACTATTGTTTTGCTATTTACCCTTTTAAGTCCAGTTCTCAAAATGTAATAATATCTATCACTCAAAACATTCCACTACACACTCTGTTGAGTAATAAATTAAAATGTAGCGTATCTCACAATATTTGCTCCCTGGGACTCAGTGGTAAGACTGTAGACTTATGACGCTAAAATTCCGGTTTTGATATCCGCGGTGGAGAGAGTACAGATAACCTATTGGGCTTAACAGCAACCAAACCAACAATCATAATTTTGAATTCAGCTGTGAGTTTGTGGCATTGTTTACCCCGTGTAATTCAGCTTCCAGGTGGTTGCACCTTATATCCTGTTGAAGTTAGGATGTACATCCTTCTATTACTTACTCTATTGAATCCGAAAGTTACATTTGATATCCTATCTCTTAAAACATAACATTATTCATCTTATCAAATTCTGCATATAAAAATGAGTACTACATATATCTTACATTCATAGTTTCAAAGTGTTCCAAAATGTTTGACCTGTTGAATTAAGCGTTCAAATTATTGCTTTAACTGCCATGTTAAGATAGGTCCCAAAACGTAAAAAATGCAACAATGTCCTCTTGCAGAATCCATCAATAAACACAAACTATTACTTGTCCTATGAAATCGACCACATTCAAAATATTGCTTTACTTAACATATTGAATCAAGAACTAAAACGTTTCATTACTTATTCGTTGAGCCTAGTACTCAGAAAATAGCATTACTTATCCTATTGAGTTCGAAATTCCAGGTGAAGCATTATTTACTCCGCTGAGTTCATAACTCTAGGTACAGTATTATTTGCCCTACTGAGTTCAGAACTCAAGGTGTGATTAGTAACATTTACCCTGCTGAGTTCTAACCATTAGGTATGAGTAGTATTATTTGCTCTGCTAAGTTCAGAACTCGCTGAGTAGCATTATTTGCGCTACTGAGTTTAGAACACATGGTGTAGAATTAATTCTTCTTCTGAGCTCAGAACTCAAGGTAAGACATAATGTACCCTGCTGAACTCAGAACTCAAAGTGTAGGATTGTGTACCCTGTTGAGTTAAGAACTTATGTATAGTATTATACACCCTGCTGAATTCAGAGCTCAAAGTGTACCATTATTTACGAAGAGTTCAGGACACAAATTATAAGATTATTTACCCTGCTAAGAATAGAACTCAAGGTGTAGCATTATTTACCCTACAGAGGTCCGAACCCAAGGTGTAGCTTTGTTTATTATACTGAGTTCAGAACTCAATATGCAGCATTATGTACCCTGCTGAGTTCAGAACTCAATGTGTAGCATTATGTACCCTGCTGAGTTGAGATTTGAAAGTATAGCATTATTTGCCGTGCTGATACTTAGAACCCAATGTATAGCAATACTTACCCTGCTGAATTTAGAAATCAAAGTGTACCACTATTTATATTATTGAATTCAGCAATATTTATAATATTTATAATCTTTCCTGCATTAAAATACATTAGTTTTCATCAGTGGTTAAGTTGTCGAATCTAAAATTTCAGATTCCCAGTTATTAACCCGCTTAGTTTAACACTAAAAATAATAATAACGGAACACCACACAGAATTTTGCATTAACTACCTTGTCAAGTACAGAATTCAAAATAAAACAAGCTTACCCTGTCAAATCCAGCATTCAATATTTTAAATATCAAAGAGTCTTCTTTTTCTGCCAAACTGTAAGGAAGGATTATAAAAATAATCTTCGGTTGCGAGTCTTATTCCATAAAAATATTGAAACAGTATAAGTGTCTGAAGCTGGAAAAAGAGCTACATAATACTTAAAAGTGGTGTTTGAACAAAAAGTAGAAAAAAACAAACTGAAATTTTAAAATTTACGTGATAGGATTTCGCTTCCTTTAGACGTATAATTTGCTTTACAAATATACAGTAAACGAAGTTGAAAAATTCTTCTGTATTGGATTTAAGTATGTTACAGCAAATAAGTTATAAGGTATGGTTATTATATATATATATATACATATATATATATCAACGAGTTTCCTTTTCTAAAGCTAAGAAAATATTATTTTTTACATTACTAATAATCTAAAATATACCATAATTACCTACCTCCGTTTCACAACTGCAACAAAACAGCTATAATGGTTATCTTTGGATAGACGAAACGACCTGCAGAAAAACATTACATATAGTCTCACAATATCAAGATTATGTTTTGGATTAACATAGTCTTCTACAACAGTTACGGTAAAAAGTAAGAAAAATAGTGTAACTTTAGCTGAAGCTGCTAGGTAGCGCCACTGGTAAGCCGAAGAGGAGAAGAAGTGAAAATCATCCTGAACAACAAAATTTACTGCTTGAAGCATGTGTCTTGGAAAATGAAATACATGTTTCTCGGCACGTAAGCTCGTATTCATTAGATTATTTCTGCTTGCGTGTAAAGTGATGAATTGTTGAAGTTCATTACACCCATGTAATACCGTAACGTAACTCTATTTTAACAAATTAGTACTCACACTGAAAATTTTTTCCTATCATTATTAGTGAAAAAAGAAACAAGAGTATCCTTTATATATATATTCATACCTGACTTATTCAAGTTACAATACTTCCAAACCTGAATCTTTCTACATCTACAGAGAACTAAATGGTGTTAATCCTGTGATTTTTCGTTCCTATACATTTCTATCAATATAATTTTATGTTGAGTTGTATTCTGACGGTTTACAGACTTGGTTTTGTTAGATTGTATATAAACTTTTTGAACGCCCTCTCACTAAATGATTTTTGGCTCTAACAGTATCAGTACTACCTAATACGTTTTTTGTTATTACTTAACAATCAAACCTCTTTGCTAGAGTAAGCTATTTTATAACGCGGGTGAACATTACTGAGTTGTAGGCCAATCAGCAATGGCTATTTTAGTTCTTACCGATTGGAATAAGACATGTTTCACTGTCAATTCATTGTCTGACAGTATGCTTATTGTAACAATATTTGCTGATTGATTTATAAACCGTCATAAGATCTGCGCCACGCCAAGCAGGTGCGTTTCACACAATAAAGAGGACAATTTCTCACCAGCGTTAGTATGTTTGTATACCACTCATTCCAGTTGCCACAATATTTCTTTTACATCATGGCCAGTTATAACAATGTATATGTTACTTGTGGTAACCTAGGGAACAGTGGACTCTTCTATTGGAAAATTGAACCTTGGACGTTTAAGGTTGCTATGGCTGATGAACATAGATCGGTGGAACTATTTGACAGTGTTCTTAATGAGACTGTAATAGTTGATTTAAAATAGAGTGTTGAATACAATGCACTTGTCTAAATAATTAGATAAGAAATGAGTTCTCTACTACTAGTAACTTTTATTTTAGATCAAAACCTAACATCCGAGTGGTTTCCTACAATGAAAATATGTCGGTATCGTCCTTTCTTCTGTTCATAACATATTTTATACATTTCTCTGTCCACATAAAGCTAGGTTAAGTGACCAGGTTTTTAATGTTTTATTCACTTCAATATGTTAATTGTAATCCTAATAGCAGACACCACTTACACAAAGCTCGCCTCTTCATCATTATTTCGAACTTTTATGATATTGAGCTAAGTTGTTCACTACTATGTTTAATGTATATATCTCAATAAACTTCTTTGTTTATATAATTTCTGTAGAGCATATTCGAGTTTGAAATATATGTTAGTTAAAGATATAAACGACCTTGTAACACCAATTGTTTTATTTTTTATTTTTTTGACACTCAACGTTTCGCGTTACAGCTTCTTCAGGAGACTTCCACTAAAACATAAATTTGTGTGTGTCTATTAGTGTAATGCCCCTAAAGAAGCTGTAAAGTGTGACTATGTGTGACGTTATAAGGTCGTTTATTTCTATAATTAAGCTTCTTTGTTTACTACTACTTTTCATCTGCAACGAAACATCATACATAATTTTTGTACAACTAAAAATAATAAATACAAGACTCATTGTTTTCAAATATAACAATGTTTCTACCACAATAAGCTAATCTATTTCATATTATGTTTAACTGTTATACTTTACATACTACTGTTACGTGTCTGTTCGTTTGTTTAATTTTCCGTAAAAAATTCTTTCCTAAAAATCTTCAGCAATACAAGTCCTTTCTTAAATAAAACTAGTTTATTCTTTCTCAATACAACTTTGCAATACACAGAATTTCCACAGTCACTTTAACTTAAGCACACGCTATAACTCACAACGATTCGCCTCCCAGTGGCACAGCGGAATGTCTGTGGACTTACAACGTTCGTAACCGGGTTTCGATACCCGTGGTGGGCAGAGACAAATAGCCCATTGTGTAGTTTTATGGTTAAACGGCAAACAGTTTCGTCACATATTTAGGAAAACAGTAATGTAAAAATAAAAAAAAAACCGTTTGAAATACATTTAGTATTTAGCATTTTCATTTAAGTTATTCCATCTAAAAGATCAAACGAAAGTAACATTTTCTCACCTAGCGAGAAGAAAAGGGTCGAACCCAGATGGATGACGAGTGTCTACAATCACTAGATGGTAATGACTGTTTCGTATACGATCGAGGGCTTGTGTGTCACTGGTGACAACGACGTAGTCGTACTGGAGTTTTTCCACTGCCAATTTTAGAGCTTTACACTGAGAATCCTCTTTGTCGAAAACTAGCAGCACCTTAATTTTAATGAAGAATGCCGGAATAATTAATTAAATACATAAAACCCTTTTTTTATAGCAATTGATTATTGGAATCCTTCGGAACTTAGTTATCCTCTAATTTGATTTTTGGACATAATCAAACAAAAATAAATTTTCTAAATAAAAAAGTTGAAAATGATACTTTTGAATAAAATAAGTTTGTAAGGTGGAATTTATCTTTATACATATTCATAATTTGACAAAACGTCTTATTTATGGTATTAGTGAAATCGTAATTATGATTAAGAACTATATACAAGAGTTCATATTAGTTTGTATAGTATTGCCATTAGTAACAATTAACAACAAGAGGGAATCTTCCATAGCCGCGGCACTTGAAATTCTTTTAGGCAGTATTAGAGTAAATTAAACTATGAGACCTTTATTTTTTCTTTTATTATCTATATTTTTGTGCGCCAGCAATACCAAGCGTGGGGCGCGCATATACCAAATTCAATTTTATTACTCCTCAGGATCTCTACCAGCCTGCACTCAAATTGAAATTAGTTTAGGCAGTATTGTAATAAATTAATTGATGAGACCTTGGGCGGGATCAAACACATCAATCGAAAGGGTTTGATATCCTGAATCCGATACTGCAATTAGAACTCAAGTTGGTGAAGAGATGACGGAGCTACGAGCTAAACGTTTTTACCCGAAAAACAGTAAAAAACAACTCAGCCATTCTATGAGCCACTGTGCCGCGGCTAAAAATTACGTATATTTCAGTGTAGTTCAAAATATTTATGCAAAAGTGAGAATGGTACAAGTTTCCATTTCCTACTTTTAATAAGCTTATTGCTTAACATTGGCCTCTGTTACAGTTATACCCTTGTAAAAAACACAAACAACTTGTTTTAATGGTACACGTAAGACATACTTACCTGCTTTAAGTAGCTTTAATTCTTAATAATATTTTAAGCATTATTTCAAAGTGAAGCTATTAAAAACGATCAGTAGACATTGTTTCTTCAAAACAAATAATTTTTATTCGACTCTTTCCTGTCATCAATGAAAAAGGCCAAAATTCAGTCGTATCATTGAAAACATAGGACAACAAGGGATGCTTACATAACCCTTCTCTATTAGTAACATAACCCTTCTCTATTAGTAACATAACCCTTCTCTATTAGTAACATAACCCTTCTTTATTAGTAATAAGGACGTATAGATTCAGTCATATCATGCAAACTAAAGGGTAACATAGGATGTCCACACAACTTTTTTCTGTTAGGAATAAAGACGTTTGTATTCATTCTTATCATTCACAGCATAGGACAACAAGGGATGTCTAGAAAACTCTTCCCTGTTCAGAACACCTCTCAGTGGCACAGCGGTATGTCTGCGGACTTATACTTCTATAAACAGGGTTTCGATACCCGTGTTGGGCATAGAACAAATAGACCGTTGCGTAGCTTTGTGCTTAATAACAAACAACAATAACTGTTAAGAACAAACACGTTTATATTCAGTCTTATCATGCAAAGCATAGGGCGACAAGGGATGCCTGCATACTCTTTCCTGTTAGGAGCCCGGCATGGCTAGGTGGTTAGGGCACTCGACTCGCAATCTGCGGGTCGCGGGTTCGAATCCCCGTCACACCAAACATGCTCGCCCTTTCAGCCGTGGGGGTGTTATAATGTGACGGTCAATCCCACTATTCGTTGGTAAAAGAGTAGCCCAAGAGTTGGCGGTGGGCGGTGATGACTAGCTGCCTTCCCTCTAGTCTTACACTGCTAAGTTATAGACGGCTAGCGCAGATAGCCCTCGTGTAGCTTTGCGCGAAATTCAAAAACAAACAAACAAACTTTCCTGTTAGGAATAAATAAGTTTATATTCAGTTTTATCATGATACTGTGATATCAGACATGACTAAACAAAATTGTATTTTATGAGCTCAAAATATTTTTTACAAGTTGTTTTAGGTATTTATAACATACAGACACACTGAGGACAGGTTTTTTGTTAGAAAAAATATAACTGATTTCCTTGGTTACCACCTCGAAATTAATACATACCAATTTAAATGAGCACTGTTTTATGTAACCTGTTCTCTTACAACCAGTTCTACGTGAAATGTTTACCACAAGGTACTGTTACAACCAGTTCTACGTGAAATGTTTACCACAAGGTACTGTTACAACCAGTTCTATGTGACATGTTTACCACCACCAATAAATTTTCTTATCAGTAACATTTCGAGTCATTGAGCAGTAGCAAAACCACAACCACTTCATGAACAAAATGAAATAGTTGCATTACACAGTGAAGAGTAACACGACGTGAAGTAATAGATTTTATTCATGAACTATCGATGTGTATAGAATTCTGTATTTTCTGACTAAAAACTGTTCGAAGAGTTACCATGTGAACAGTTATATGTGCGAACAACCAGCTTCAAATTCAAGTGATCTGTTACAGCAATTATAGTTTCTAATTGTTCGAAACTATTAATTTTTAAGATATAGAATTTTAAATCAATACATTTTCTGGTGCCCTGATTGAATATTAAAGATTGAAATTGAACTTTTTTTTTTCAATATCAGCCTTAATTGAACATTTCGTGACATCTCACTAAAAGAACTGACTCAGAAAAATGAAAAAATAAAACCATGAGCAGTAATCTAGAGATTTGATACAACCTTCAACATAAAAATAGAAAACAGGTTGCACGGTCAATGCTATTTATGACAACTGTAAATAGTATAAAAAGATTATATGTATACGGATTCTAAACAAAATTAAGCATTCGAGAGCTACATGCAATTTCTGATTAGTTTTTTTCGTGTTCGAGATTTAAAAGTTTAAACACTTAGTAGTAACAAGTAGTTTCTGTTTCGTATATTTTCGTATGCGAGATATAAAAAACGTAACCATTCAAGAGCTACAAGTAGTTTCTGTTTCCTTTCTTCCGTATGTAAAATTTACCAAGTCTAATCCCTCAGGAATTACAAGTAATTTCTGATTCGTTTATTTCCGTGTTCGAGATTTAACAAGTGTAGTCACTCAAAAGCTATAAGTATTTCCTGCTATTTGTGTACGAGGCCTAACAAGTATCGTCATTCAGGAGTTACAAGTAGTGTCTGATTCGTTTAGTTCCGTGTACAAGATTTAAAAAATCTAATCACCCAAGAGCTACAAGTATTTTCTGTTCGTTTATTTCCGTGTGGAGATATAACAAGCGTAATCACTCAGGAGTTACAAGTAGTTTCAACTTCGTTTATTTCCGTGTGGAGATATAACAAGCGTAATCACTCAGGAGTTACAAGTAGTTTCAACTTCGTTTATTTCCGTGTGGAGATATAGCAAGCGTAATCACGCCGGAGTTACAAATAGTTTCAACTTCGTTTATTTCCGTTTACGAGATATAACAACTGTAATTACTCAAGTGTTGCGAGTAGTTTCTGCTTTGTTTATTTCTATGTGTGGAATATAAAAACACGTAATCATTCAAGAGCTGCAAGTGGTTTTTGTTTCGTTTATTTCTGTTTACGAGATTTAACAAGTGTATTCACTCAGGAGTTACAAGTATTAGGTCGTCAACAAATTAATGTCGCGTTTTGAAACACTTTCATTAACCCCCCAAAAAATATACATCACGTATAATAGTTAAATAAACCGCCTAAACGTCACGTTAGTGTAGCCTATATTAATGTGTAAAGTTTAGTACACTCTAATCCCTTATAGTGATGGCACACGACGAGACACCATTCGGTATGTAATGCTGTTTGAATACAAGAAGGGAAACAACGTCTCAGTAGACACAAATAATATCAAAGTTTATGGAAATGTTTTGAACGTTCGTAAGTGTCAACGATGGTTCAGCAAATTTCGTTCAGGTGATTTAGCCTTAAAAACTGTGATGGCAGGAGCCAACATGTTGGAATTGATACTGATGCTCTGAAGGCACTTGTTGAGCCTAACCCAAGGCAACAAACTCGTAAAATGGCCCTGAAATTACATGTCTCTCATGAAACAATACGTAAACATCTAAGGAATATGGGGAACTCCATAAAGAAGG